TGTTATTTATATGTTATGAGTTTGAATTGTAAATGTTTACTGTATAAAATGAAACGATTGATTTTTTAACATGTAAATTAATATTGTATTACATTATTTGTATTATCTATCTCTTGCTTTAAAATTATTTTTTTTTATTTACTATCAGCATTAGTTTTGTCAAGTCAGATGTATTGTGATATGCCTTGTGTTGTCCTGGATTATTATATTAGACCGAAAAACCCAACAAAACATTCTAATTTTATTGTAATGCCGTCTACTTGGCTTTCGAGTATTACATCTTTTTTCAACAGGCATTCTCTCTTACCCTCCCCATAATTCTCTTATAAGAACGTTAAGGGTTCAAGCTTTTATTCATTAGCTTGACAGACCAGAACAGGGTAGGGAATCAAATAATTCTCTCACACATTTCCCCAGCCCCTAGACTCGAGATTCTCCAGAAGAAATTTTCCTCGCACCTCCTGGTTCTGATATAATCTGCAGTACCGTCAGTACGATTTACGGTCTCAAGCTTTAGACTCGAACTTAAGACTCTTGGGCAGAGTTTCTTCCAGACATCTCTTTGGGGTAGGGGGGGGGGCAAAGAAAGTCTACCGCCCCCGCCCCCTCCGAGCGAGATGGAATTTATATAATAAACATATACTTTTACTAGTGTCCGCCCCCCCCCCCCCCCCCCCACCCGGAGAAAAATGTCTCGAAGAAACACTGCTCTTGGGTTTTACCTCTAGACCACGTCGTGCCCCTTCAACCAGCATTAAACCGAAGCTTAGTATTACATGTTGACAGTTTTATTATTGTGGTAGTTTGAGTCATGACCTTTAACCCGGATGTTGGATAGAAGTTCACTAGTCAGTGAATCAAGACTAGCGAGTTATGACAAGTACAGGAAACGGGTAAGTGATTTTTGAAGGTCATGCTAAATGTGACGTACCTCACTGACGCAGTACGCTAAAGTGATCCTAAGGGTCACGTTTTACGTGACATCAAGCAATTGACTCAGTCAAATAAAGTGAGGATTGAGGATCGCGTTATATGTAACTTGATTCGATAACAAAAGTCGTTAAATCGAGTATAAAACATGCGGCAATGCAGTGCTTATAATACCTCCATGGTACAAACAAACAGGTGCATGTGGGTCGGTGTTTTAATAAAACACCCAGGTGCAAGAGTTGGTGGTGGTGGGGGTGGGGGTGGGGGGGGGGGGGGGGGTCAGAAAGCTGTACTTAGTCGTAGTGTTTCGTAAATCTAGAATAATGACTAAATAAATGTCTGTTATCGATATGTTCGTTATTTGTTATTTGTCCTCTATTTATATAATATTAATAGTGGCTACAGAAGGATACAGACCAGTGTTTCTTCCAGACTTTTATCTCCGGGGGGGGGGGGTCACTTGAAATTTTCGGGGGCGAACACTGTTAAAAGTATATAAGTGTATGTTTTCTATATGAATTCCATTTCGTTCGGGGGGCGGTAGACTTTTTTCGGGGGGGGGGGGGGCTTAGCCTTCCCCCCCCCCCCCTAAGAGATGCCTGGAAGGAAACTATGATACAAACTTTACAAAAAGGACATAAAAAACAAAACTGAGTGACCATCAATTATTTAATGAATTTTTTATTCTTTGTATCACAATCAAAGCGTAATGTGAAACACATCTTTGCGGATTTACAGATAATTTTTTACTTTTGATATACTCATTTTAAAATAATTTTAAAAGAATTAGTTAATTAGCGTTAAACATGTATAAACAAAAGTAAATTAATTAAGATAAACAAATTGAAGTAAATGAAAGCTTTCACTCATAAGCAAATTATTAACTAAGCATAAATCAAACCTATATTAAGCATATTTTTAAAAACAATTAACATATTTAATATTAAGCTTCATAACATAATTTATGTATCAGCATTTTTAGATACGTTAAATTATCTCATCATATTTTTAACTTTCGTGTCCGAGAAACATTGGGTGCAGTTAAAGTAGAGTTAATCTGTTCCAATGACCACGGCATACCGCCTTTCTTTCCCTAACGTGAGCCAGGTACCCATTAGAGCTGGGTGGGCTTAGGTACGTACTAAGGATTTTAGCTTGGGAATCGAACCCGCGACTTTCGGGTTACCATTCTAAGCTCTCCTTCCGACTACGTACACATTAAATACCTTATATCCCGTTTTAAAAAAGCTTTCGAATCAGACAAAATATTTTCTTTCTGTTACTCAGTACGGTGGTCGATACCATACCCAGCCTTCTTTGGGCACAGCCCACTACATTATGGACGTGGGTCACTGACCACAATGTGTATGTATGTGTTCAATACATAAGCTATACATAAGTGTATGTCACTAGACACAATGTGTCTGTATGTGTTCAATACACGAGCTATACATAAGTGTGTGTCACTAGACACAATGTGTCTGTATGTGTTCAATACATAAGCTATACATAAGTGTATGTCAATAGACACAATGTTTCTGTATGTGTTCAATACATAAGCTATACATAAGTATAAGGTCTCGTGTGATGCACTTGTGTTAAGGTCAAATACACGACACCCAATGTCCTATACTAATCTGATAAATCACTTTATAGTTTTATGATCCTGGGTTTTATACGGAAATAAAACAACCCCCCCCCCCCCACCAGAATACACTTGAACGTGTCATAATCTGTCTGTCAGATAAATGTCACCTTCAACACCCTTGAGACATGTAGGACGTCATGTTTTTAAAATTCCGGAATTTTTTTTTATTCCACTTTGTTTGCCTTATTTTAGCTTCAGCTGTGTTGTATGGCCGGGCTATCATGGTGTGTAACTGTATGTCTGTGTTTAGTGCGTGTGTGTGAGTGTGTGTGTTTGCGATATAATGTGTATATGTGTATCTGTGTGTATGTGATTGTGTGTAGATGTGGGTGAATATGTGTTTGTGATTGTGTGTCTGTATGTGATTGTGTGAAGATGTGTGTGCACGTGTGTGCGTACATACAGGTGTGTACGATTTGGGGTGTTTGTGGGTGTGATTGTGTGTGGATGTGTGTGTGTTGAGTGTGTGTGTGTGTGTTGAGTGTGCGTGTGTGTGTGTTTGAATTCTTTTGTGTCCGGGTTAAATTTTTATTCATGTGTCTTCAACTGATGCTTAATTTTGATGTATGTGTGTTTTATCCTTCTTAAGCTTATTTGAAATGTCCTTACTACAATTCTTTTTATTAGACATGTGTTGGTATTTTACTAAGGGAGTGAAATCATAAAGTGATCAGGGGAGCTAACATATATTTTTCCCTTTTCACACATTTGAATGAGTTTGTGATAGTCTCTAATAAATATACCTGCTTGTGATGTAAAGGTAATTATGGATATATAAATGGATGTATGTGTGTGTAGGTATTAGTAAGTCTGTGTAGAGGGGGGTCCAAAACGTTCTCCCAATTCATATACGCTTTTCATAAACACTTTAAGATTATAACCCATAATTAAATAGATAAAAAAGTTCTGAGAGTAGACAGTGATTTCTTATTATTTCATGTTTGAGAGTTATAAATATCTTCGAACACCAAAATGAACAACGTATGTTGGAAGCATGGAGTGTATGTCAGGGGTCGGCAACCTGCGGCTCTTTTGATATCAAGATGCGGCTCTCCAGCTCCTTGCACAAACACTAATAATCTTAATAAAAAAATAAAAAATTTGAAATAAAAAGAAGTTAGTAGCTCTTTAAAACCAGGGAAATTTTGAAAATTGTAACTTTTGGCTCTTCCGCTTCAAAAGGTTGCCGACCCCTGGTGTATGTGTATGTTTGAGATACAGGACTTGTATGTGGATGTGTTTTCTCAAAGCCGCCAATACCCCCTCCCCCCACCTCAGAGTAAGATTTGGTGTGAATGTAGTGTTTTTATCACTAATGACACCACACAATCCCCACTCCAAACAGAACCACTTTCCAATCTTAAGCTGAACACGCTCTGTAGATGGGTGTATAGGCTTAGCTTTCAATGAAGCCACTTAACAGTAACTACTACCACTGCTGTTTAAGCTGGGAATGTATGTCTACACTTAGAGCTTAAACGCATGTTCGTCTAAACACATGACAGTGTTTGATAACATGTCCCTCAGCGTTGTGTTAAGCGTGTGCGTGCGTGAGTATATTTGGTGTGGACATTTGTTGTCATTCACCCACGTCATCAAGAATTGAAACTCCCTTCACCGTTATGTTGGTTGTAAGTGTATGAATACATCTTGTGTGGAAATATATAGTCACACACCCAACGCACAATTCCCCTCACATTATGTTTCAGTGTATGAATACAAGTTGTGTGCACTATGTTGTCACATATCCAACCCACAGCTCCCCTCACATTATGTTTTAAGTGTATGAATACAAGTTGTGTGGACTATGTTGTCACATATCCAACCCACAGCTCCCCTCACATTATGTTTTAAGTGTATGAATACAAGTTGTGTGGACTATGTTGTCACACATCCAACCCACAGTTCCCCTCACATTATGTAGCAATGTGTATGAATACAAGTTGTGTGGACTATGTTGTCATACACACAACCCACAAATCCCCTCACATTATGTTGTAAGTGTATGAATACAACTTCTGTGGACTATGTTGTCACACATCCAACCCACAGTTCCCCTCACATTATGTAGCAATGTGTATGAATACAAGTTGTGTGGACTATGTTGTCATACACACAACCCACAAATCCCCTCACATTATGTTGTAAGTGTATGAATACAACTTGTGTGGACTATGTTGTCACACATCCAACCCACAGTTCCCCTCACATTATGTTGCAATGTGTATGAATAGATCTTGTGTGGACGTATGTTGTCAAACACTCAACCCACAATTCCCCTCACATTATGTAGCAATGTGTATGAATACATGTTGTGTGGACTATGTTGTCACACATCCAACCCACAATTCCCCTCACATTATGTAGCAATGTGTATGAATACATGTTGTTTGAACTATGTTGTCACACATCCAAGCCACAATTCCCCTCACATTATGTAGCAATGTGTATGACTACATGTTGTGTGGACAAATATCCCTCACACCATCCAACGAGAGCTAAAATTCCCCTGAGCCCCACTACTCCCACTATGGGTGTGACTATACAGCCCACCGTACCCCAGCCTAAACACAGTAGCACCACTACTACCTGGGCACGTACAGGTGTTGTACGCATACCTCGTATACCCCACACCATCTACCTTCTTCACCTTCCACTGACCAACCGACACCCGCTTACAGGCGCCGTGTGGATGGGACACAATAACAACCAGTTTATCCACATCATCCAACTCCTTGTACCTCTCATGTACCGCGACACTTCTAAATCGGAAATTCCTCCACAGATCGTCGAGTTTCTGCACCTTTTCCTGATCACACGTGGCGTGCACCAACTTGCACCAGTCCCCATCAACGTCAACTTCTTCGATCTCAAACCCTTCCAAACACCAAGTACAGCTGTCTTTGTTGTCATACCCAAACACACACTTTGTCGCTGTAGCCTCGCTGGCGTCAAACACCACATGAGCGGCGGTGATGACCTCACACTTCCACCAAACCCTGCTGGGCCTCAACTCACACCGCTCACACGCGCACAGTTTATGTCGGTCCGTGTTCTTACTCACTCGACACAGCCTTCCGGAGCCAAGCCGTAACCCCTGACCCCCGCTGTGAGCAGGGTAGTCGTCGAATTGGGGCGTGGACTTTGGCCTCGCTGAGCTGGTGTGGTTTACTTTAATCAGCACGGTGGTGGCGGCAAGGGAAGTAACCAACTTTGTCATGTCCGGGTTTCGGTAGCGCTCAGGGAGATAATCCTTGGTGAACTGATCCACAGGAATAAAATTCCTATGGCCCGGATTTTTCCCACACTTGATAAAATTCCTTGCTAAATCTGCCTCTCCTCTGGGGCATATCTCACATTCATGACTGCCTAGCATGGGGGAAAACAAAAATGGGGTTTTTTAAAATGTATAACATTTTGGTTTTTGTTTTAAAATACACTTGTCTAAGGGTAGTAAATGTAATGTAATAGCATGTTCTATGTTGAGACTGATCATTTTGAGAATGTTAGCAGATACTAACATTTTGTTATTAAAAATAAGTTAGCTAAAACTTTATTTTAAATTATTTATTTTAAAAATTGCTACAAATTGAAACATTTGATACTCTAAAGCAGAGTAGAAAGATAAAAACAAATTATCAAATTGTATAGTAAAAAAAAAATTAATCAACGCTTGCAGACAAAGAAAACTATATATAAAACGTAGACAAAAAGGTAACGTATTCTGCGAAGATGGGACGGCATGGTCCAGAGGCGTAGAGACCTTTCCCGGCGCCCGGGGACAAACTTTCGATTTGCACCCCCCTCGAACTTTCGATTTGCACCCACCCCCCCCCCCTTAGGTCGGCGCCCGGGGACATATGTCACCCCCGCCCCCTCTCTACGCCTCTGGCATGGTCTAGCGGGAGAGCTAGACAGCTAACCCGAGAGTCTCTAGTTTGAATTCTGGTTCAAATTAGAGGAACGTCCTTTACTTTAGGGAAACAAAGTCGGCTGGGCATAGTGCTGAGCACACTATCCCGAGGTCTCTAAAGCAGATGAACTTCATCGGCCCCGTGTGTCTTGAGCACAAACGGGAAATGTTGATGTTTTTGCGAAGGCTTGTAAAATAATATTACTTAAAAAGGAAGTTAAATTAGTTAACCTAAACTAATAGTAGATTCTACGTGGTATCTAATAATTCAAAGTTATGTTAACGATAACTTTTCTAAGTTATCCGCCGTAGACAACATAAACATATCTTAACACAGAAAGTTATAAAAGCTAACTCACCCTTGAATGGGTTGCTGGGTTTGGGTTTACTAAATAAAAATCCCATTACTTTGTATCTAGAAGATAAACACAAAACAAAAATATATTAATAGATGTAATCTTGATGAAAAAAATACGAGTTATAAAAAGTTATCCAACGTAGCAGAAAAAACTTCTTCTGTGAAGATAGGACGGAGTGGCCTAGCGGTATAGACTGGACTGCTAACCCGTAAGTCTCGAGTTCGAATCCGGTTCATGTCCGAAGACCGTTGCTGAGTCCACCCAGCTGTAATGGGTACCTAACTCACGTTAGGTTAAATAAAAGCGGCTGGGCATAGTGCTGACCACACCATCCCTTCATATGCCGAGGTCACAGAAACAAGTGAACTTGCCCCATAGACCGTCACGTTTGAAAGGGAACTTTATTTACTTACAACTATAAAAGGTAATAGTAAAACATACTTTCTTCATTTACATCATAAAAACATAAGTACGCAAACGTTGCTGTTTTAATCGATGTGCAAATAAATTGCACTATTCTTTAATCTTTAGGGACATTTTACCCTGCTCTTAGGTCTTACCAGAGGCGTAGAGAGGGGGGAGGGGGGTGCGGACCGCTCCGGGTGACACCATGTAGGGGGGTGACACCAAGGCAAAAAATAGCAAAATATATAGAGAAAAATTGAAAATTTGAGGGGGGGGGGGGGGGGGTGTGCAAATCGAAAGTTTGAGGGGGGTGCAAATCGAAAGTTTGAAGGGGGGGTGCAAATTGGAAATTGAAAGTTTGTCGCTACGCCTCTGGGGGGTGGCACCATTAAGTGCCGCACCGGGTGACACCCGACCTCGCTACGCCACTAATGATAGAAACATATTTTTATTTTTGTAGCAACATATTTTAGATAAGGCTGCTAATTTCACAAATTGAATTACAAAAATTACTAAAATCATTCTGACTAGCAGTTACTTTTAAAAATACTAAAAATAATCAACTCAAAGTGTGACGTAAGTTTCTTACAATAAACGAGTTTATTATGTGCTTTGTTTAATGAACTATTCTACCCATCAGCGTTAAATAATCATAAACACTTAACATTTAGATACAAGTTCAATAATTTGATATGCATACAATATATTAATATGTTATCAGCTTAAAACTTTATTTAAAAAAACACCCACATACCATGTAAATGTTAAAGTAACGACCATAAATGTATTACACAAATAATTTTCCGATTACCTACACTACATAAAATGTATGTAATGGAAACACAACATGGATGTTTTGATATGTTAATTGGGTCTGCCAGCTCATAAAAAACTCCCTTCAAATTTTCCCGGAAATTTTTGACAGGAAAGCTCCTTTCTAACTTGAAAATCGTAGAGTGTGTGTAAGTCCTATAAGTACATTACGTGTTCGCGTGTGTGTGTACGTGTGTGTGTTTGTGTGCGTGTGTGTAAGTCCTACAAGTATATTACGTGTTCGCGTGTGTGTGTGTGTGTGTGTGTGTGCGTCTGTGTGTGTTGTAGGCAAGCAGCCAACAACATCATAATCTCGGTGTCACCGTTAGATAAACATAGATTATACATATTCATCGTTAAACACAGATAATACAGATTCATCTTTAGATAAACGTAGATAAAACAGATTCATCTTTATCTCTATTCACCTCCCACCTTCTCTCTTCATATCTCTCTCTTCCACACACACTTTATATATTGATCTCCCTCTTTATATATATATATATATATATATATATATATATATATATATATATATATATATATATATATATATATATATATATATATATATATGTGTGTGTGTACAAATATGTATACATTAATTAAAATTTAAACTATGTGTGTCTGTGAGTGAGTGAGTGCTTGCTTACACGTGTGTGTCTCTGTGTATAAAGCCTACGTAGTAATGTATTCATCTCTACATGAGCCTAAATTAATATTCTTAACTCTCCTGAATCTATTTGTGTTTATTTACTTCCCCCTACCTATTCCGAAAATACTGTTTTTATCCCTACATTCACACAAGGGAGTTTACTCTTCTTTCACTTATCAATAATTCGATCTAAGTTGTCCGCCTTCCTTTTCATTCCCCTATCGAAAAAAAATTGGAGTTTTCGTATGTGTAGATCATTTGTAAGATTTAATATATTTATTTGTTTATATTTCTATGTAACTTTAAAGTAAAAAACCGCATTTTGAACAATAGTTGATTTGTGAGTAAAATGTTAATGATGTATATTATGTGTAGCTTATCTTTCCGACAATATTAAGCAAAACACTTCATTTAGTTACAATACTTTCTAGAAAAACTCAGATTCCAAGAATTTACAGGATTGAAAACAAAGTTACACAGAATTTCAATGTTGGTCCCAACTGTCCAGATATATTTTCCTAAATTGTTTTAAAACTTCTAAAACGAAACATTTTCATTTAAATCTTCAAAACATATGTAATCTGTAAGCATTAGGGCTTGTAAGTTGATCACCAACTGCTCATACTTACCAACTCATATTTTTCTAGCTCAATGTGAATATTTTTTTATTAAATCGGTAAAAAAAGGTACTTCCGATTTTTATGTTAGTTAAAATCGTTAACAATGATAATGATAGGCTAAAAGATGTAGGCAAGCTTACAAAATTAAAGTTAATTTTAAATAGTGATTTAAAAAAAAAAACTGTGAAGTTTGTTATTATGTATGCGAATCCGTTTCTATTAAAATTAAACAATTTATAATTATTTCATTTCGGGATCTCTTGCTACTTCAAAATCTTGAAGCGAAACCTAGAAACAAGTAGTCGCCACATTTTGTTTATCAATAAGCATCAATTTAATAACAACTGCTGTAGTACGAAAATGTAAATCTCTCCCTGGCTGACGAGATTTCAAATTTTAATCGAGAAAGACCGAGACTTACATGCTCTCTTCAACACAATTGTTACCAAAAAAAAATTTAGCTTACCCTTTTCACTTAGCAACACCGAAACTGTATCAACCTTTTTACTTATCGTCTGGTATGGTGTACCAACTTGTTGACTGGTGGCAATGGTCTATACACATCTGTACATGAACGTAAGTCATGCGGAACAAGTTCATCAGTCGCCACTGATGCGTGCCGTGTTTTATGCTGTCAGTGTCGACTTGGCTTTAGAGAAGTTTGTCGCCGTGAAGGTCGCCGGGAAATCTATTTTTGTTTTCGGGAATTGTGTCTATTACACACCCCTTATATTATTATGATCTCCCTAAAATTGAAAAATATGTAGCTTTAAAACAGCAGATGTAAAAATTCCATACAACATCAGCATCTTTCTGCTGATATGTATTTTCTAGTCCTCCTGAACACACCAATAAAATGTCCTAGACAATTTTGTTTCCAAATTTCGGCTTTTTAAAGAATACAAGTATAACTAAGGAAGCTGGCTAATCTCTTTTTAATACAGTATAAATCTGCTTTGTTTCTAATTAAGATGAAATAATTGATTTATGCTCAATAAACTGATACTAATACTAGCTTTTGTTCTTGCAGTAGTGAAGGAGGGCAGGTCATTTTCCGAGTGGGGAGTGTTCCTAAAATGTTAATTAAGTGGCCTAAATGAAATTTCTTTTATGCAGAATTTCTTTTAGATACCAGTCCCGTGAAGCAGTAACCCCCCCCCCCTTCCAAAAAAGACGTTCATCCATCCCTTCCCCCCCCCCCCTACCTTCTTTGACGAAATATATATTAGTTTTCGTTATCGCTACAGAATATATACGCAGTGATCCGTCCCACGTATAAAACTTTCATACATTACATCACCCCCCATCTGCAAGTTATTAGTGCCCCATGGAGAAAAGTGTATGAAAGAAACACTGTTATTATAACGAGAAATTATTTACCATATTAAAAATTGGAACAAGGAAGTAGTATTTTTTCTAGTGAATTGTACCTTATCCGTTCTATAAATCTCTATCTTATTCTTAATGTTTGAAAACCTGTACATAACAGATCTCAGTAAACTTTCTTGGCATGACCTTCAACCTTTAACTTTTCGTAAAGAAAGAGGTCACACGTGACCAGACACGCAGTTTCTGTTGACATGGCAAACAGTAAAACATAAGGAAAACTATGTAGAAACACGTAGTCTTCGCTGTATTCGGTGTCAGTCGTGTTCTCCCGCTACTATCAACTCTATTTTTAGATTTACGCTGAGCATAGAGGTTATTGTGTCTGGGAGATGGGGGGGGGTCATTAAATGTAATTTTAGCGTTTATGATTTACATACACACATATGGGTGTGTATATTTGACTTCTACTTTGAAAGAACATGAACAACATGTTTATATTCATTTCCGAATAAAGATAAACTGCAATCCATAATCAAAACTTAACTTAAACAAAAACACAATGTAGTCTACCCAATGTTCTTATTATTACTAAGTTTATTTACGTAGGGAAGCTAACTGTTAAAAACAATTCAATTTAAAGTTTAATCTTAGTTAACTCACTTTTAAAATTGTCGCTTAATTTAAAGCTATAATTTAAATCCTGTATACTAATGAACACTTATGATTTTTCTAAAATTGAATATTTCTTTTATTTATTTTTAAGTGTAGATCGACAAAATTTATTCTTAGCCAGCACTGCAAGTATGTATTTCTACAAATAAAGATACACTAAGTAGTAGAAAATAAATTATTTCCTTTAAATATAATAATGAACTACTATTTATAAAATATTTTAACATAAAATCATGATTCGCTTGTTAAATTCTAATAGTAAATTTCAACTCACGCTATTAATTTTAGTTACTTAAATAGTAGTTTATTTTTATATTTAAAGAACATAATCTATTTTCTCTACATCTGTGCATCATTATATTAAAAGTTTATTAAGACTTTTTCTCAATGCATTTTTTTAAATTTGATATAAAAGCGACTTCCAAGGAATTATCTTTAATCCAAATGTTTTCTTCGTTTATTTTTGCGTGTAGGCAAAAAACGGAGGAAATTAAAAGTTTTAATTCCTGACGCTGTTACTTCCCTTTAATAATTAAAATTGAGGAGTAAAGGCGTTCAATTATTTATTTCAGAAAATCTGGTGTATTTCCACGTGCCTACGTCACCAGATCTACTTACCAAATATCAATTTTTTGTTGTATCTGCAAGGGGGCGATCTGATGCAGTTACTTTAAAAAATGATATAGTTTATATAAGTCCCGGGTCACTCTAGGTCAGTTTTGGGTCACTTTAAAAACGAATATTGAATGACTCTGATTTTCCAGATAAAGAGAAAGTGAACAGCAAACTGTGACAAGAACATTTTCCCTGCATCTTACCTGCAATTACCCGATCTAGTAGGTGTGAGTAACAAACAAACAAACCAAATTATCACCCACTTTGTGTGTGTGCGTGCGTGTGCGAGCCTGCGAGTCTGTTTGCGTGCTTACTTGGGTGCCTGTACTTTATTCCCGATAGAATTTACTTATTCTACTGATTATTATTAGCATATGGTACAATTATACTTATTACCGTAGACAATATTTAAGAAACACAGGATATTAGACTAGCAAATCAATTTGGCTTTCAAATGCAGAAAAGCCTAAGTAGATATTGACTATGGTTGACATGAGGATTTAAGGTAATGTTAATGTCCTTTAATCATTGGAAATATTTCAGGTAACAAAATTAGACGCAGAACCGTTAAGGGATACAGAGAACTGTTAGAAGTTACAGGTAATTCGACATTTCGTTTACTCATCTGAATTTAAACAACGGTTTTTGGCAAATGGAAACGGATATAGAATCTTAACAATATACAACGTTTACAACTGAAGAATGTTTATTCTGATTGGAATGTCATGCCTTTTGGCCTAGTAAACTCAATAGCAACCTTCTCGAGATTTATGAGAACCATGGTGTCAAACATGATTAATTAGGTATATTTGGAGATTGTATATATATATATATATATATATATATATATATATATATATATATATATATATATATATATATATACTAAAGATATTAAGAAACACAGCAGTTAGAGAATCGCTAACAAAATAGTGGGAACATGGCGCAAGTATAGGACTGGTAATTAGGTCACCAACCAGTTCTACGGCTCAATAAAACCTGCATGAGCCATAGAACTGGTTGGTGACCTGCTTAACAGCCCTATTGCACCTAAAAATTGAAATTTGCCAGTGAAGAAATAGATTTCCTTGAAATTCAGAGTTGGCAAAGGCCAGATTAGACCTACTGAAATGAACAAAGATAA